TATTCATTCTCGGACCGGCATTCTCTAAGGACAGGGGAAACATCACTGTGTAAGAGAAACCATTCAATGTGAGCCCAGTTTAGCTCAAGCAGTTGCTGTGTTCAGCCTGAAGCAGGTCACAGTGGATGGGTCGAATCAGGAGATAGCCCAGTGCACCTGGAGACAGGCACAGTGTACCGGATGCTGCTGTTCCCAGTATTTTGCCAGTACTTTGCCCGTGCATGCCGGGTGGATTGGGAGGGTTCTCAATGAAAGCCAAGTGTTGACTTTCCAAAGCTGCCAACTCGGTAGTGCCCCCAGACAGTAATGGACTTAAGTAATTGTCAGCCTGAAGACTGGTCCACTTCAAAAGTCTTAAATAATAAAAAAATGAAACCTCGAATGAGTTTCAAGGGATTTCCAGGCAGTCTGGTTGAAGCAGAGATCTTCCCAGCAGCCCTTGTCATCAAATAGCACCACGAGGACATTCCCAGTACAACATGTGCTGATGCCAGGTCCCCCTCAAATCCTGCCTATGTATTTGGAAACGATCCTGCTTGTCCAGGTTTGACACAGGCTCAGCAGGACAATGTGACTAGAAAAGGGGACACGTCGTTTTTTACTTATTTCTCACACGCTGTGAAGATTCTTAGATACCCTTTGTCTAAGATCAAAGAAACTAGCTTCGTGAGAGAGGGTTGGTCCAATTGTTTGTCGTGAATAAAGTCCACCAAAGGCCAGCAAATTAAAGGGGGGCTTACTCTGCCTGAATAGCATTCTCGCTTATTTGACTGTCCACTACAAGTCCGAGGCTTTATACACATGGCCTCAGCTCATCACAGCTGCGCTTTGAGCCGCACAACTGAACATGCCAAGACTCAGACGGTGACCTAGCTGTATAGTATCACACAGTGGAAAAGGGACAGCTGGCCTATGGAACCTCGTCTTTGCCAGCCTATGCCCAGCAAGTGTCGAGCTTGGCCATATGTGACTCCTTTAGTCATGGAGTAACTGGTAGCAAGTCAGATGAAGTGATACAGGAGAAGAGATTTACAATGGATAAGCCTTTTGGTCTCAGATACAGGATTGTGAAGCTGAGGCTTTGGAAAAGAATGTGCAAGCCTAAAACAGATGTACTCACTGACTAGAAAGAAAAGTCAGTCTTCAAACATAAACTACATCAGGATGGAGAGATGGTTCAGCAGTTAAGAGCACTGGCTGCTCTTCCAGAGGACCTGGGTTCCATTTCCGGCACCTTCATGGCAGCTCACAACTGTCTGTAACTCCAGTTCCAGGGGACCTCACACACACACACACACACACATGCAGGCAAAAAAAAAAAAAGGTCAATACACATAAAATAAAAAATAAGTTTTAAAAAGCAACAAGCTAGATCAATTCCTGGTTTTCCCAGAGTCTCCTGGTTTGATCCCATCCTGAGGAACCCAGGAGACGTCCAAAGTGAGTCTGTGACTTTGAGCTGTGTTGTGTCTGATCCTAGATGTAAGGTTGTTTGTTTAAACTCAGACAAGAGTCAAACGACCAGCCTCTTCTATATGCTCTTGGCCTTTCCCTGTGATGTGACATTCTCTAGAGAGATTCTTCATGCCTAGAATCCCCTGTAGACTTGACCAGCCTTGTGTAGGTAGAATAGCAATTACTTGACATGAAAAGTGGATAGAACTGTTGCCATCCACCTCGATCCCTTCTCTCAGCACATAGCTGGAGCACATTCTTTGTGAGAGAAACTACATTTAAATAACTTAATTTTCCAGTTTTTGCTGGAAACCCTTACCTTCTTTGATCACTGGAATTAAAATAGTCAGAGAGCCACAAAAACTCACTGGCCTGCGAATGGAAGGGATAGAACATGCAGCATTATGAGTTGTCTTTGACACACAGAACAGGGAAGGAAGGAGACAGAAATATTTATGGAGTCCCCAAAGGGTCCTTTATCTTAGGCAACCAACTTGTATAGTTCTGTTATTTGAAATTGAAGGTCTATGTTTAATGGAGATGGACTATCTGTCGTGGAGTATATAGTAAATAAATTGTGCCATTACATTTGATCAAAGGTCAACATAGACATCAGCTGCATTGTTTGTACTAAGCTTGATATGGTATCAGATCTAGGAGATTAAATATATATGTATATTAAGTATATATATATATATATATATATTTGTAATATATATTTATAATGTATAAATATATATTTAATATATATACACATACACACAGACTCTTACACATATGCTATGCTTCAAGAACACCTTGAAACATCTGTAACCCTATAATTTTACAAAATCCATATACAGGTGGCAGACAGAGGTACAAAAGTATGTACTTATAAATAGAAAGTATGTGTGTGTGCAAATAATTCATATTTAAAATGGCACTCTCTGTCACTGTGGTTGGTGAAATGTTTTTGCCATGTGGCCGATAATTATAAACCTACCCAACAAAGAGTAGAGGTAGAAGGAGTGAGTAAGAAAATACTGAGGACCGTAATTTCCAGAAACTCCTTCTGGGAGACACACAAGGTCATCCTAGTATGGAGGCCCCAATGATATCCATCCATTTAAAAACTGCCAATGGGAGCAGGCAAAAGTGAAGAACCCAGCAGCGTCCCCTCCTCATTTTCTAACAAGGCAGGCCGGACAGCCACAATGGGGTGTGAGCACAGGAGACAGGATGCAGAGCAATTATTTTCTGGCCCCTGGATATGTATTAGCCGATTTTTTTTTTTTTTCAGAAAAAGAATATTGGCTTGTTGGGCTGCTTTCCTCTTAAATTGCCTATTACAAAAGTCCCGAGGAAAACACTGTAGTGAAGGGCTCTGGAATGAGTCAGCGTCCTTCCTTCGTAAGCCTGAAGTCATGTCTCGAATGCGGCTTTTGTCTGGAGAGGCGAGGCGCTGGCTCAGCCCTGCCAACAATGCTCCATCTCTGGATCCAGTAGCTCTTTTGTTGGCATTGGCTGCTGCGATGTGAAGACAGATTTAGCTGTTGCTTGCCCATCGGCGCTTGAGACGCAGGGGCCCTTCCCATCCCTAGATGGGAGCCTTTGGATAGTGTTTCAATGGGGGAAGCATTTCAGTATCACCCAGAGAATTGGAAAACAGAATAAACATACCCCCTGAGTGTGTACAGCCTTCCCCTACACACACCAACACACACCAACACACACACACACACACACACACACACACACCCTATAGGCAGCAACGGCCCATACCACAGCAGCCTACAGCACTAATTCTTGCTGTTCACAGCGTGCCCTCTTGATGAGGATCTTGTCATCCAAAATCCTACAGTGAAAAGCCACTTGCCCGAATCAACTTTGGCACACACTCCCCACCCAGTACATATTTCCTTCCTTGTACTTGTTGGATCATTTCTGGCAGAGTGTTGTGTCCTTTTTCCTGTTAAAACATCTTAGGTCCAAATCATGGCAAAGCACTGGACAGCATCCTATTGATAATCTATTCCAGTTTTCAGCTATTTGATAAAGATTGTGATGAGAGAGAGAGAGAGAGAGAGAGAGAGAGAGAGAGAGAGACTGACTCTCCTCCAAGGCAGCACAGAGGCAGCTTTTGAACTCAAGGCTCTTGCTACCCTCATAGAGCAGTGTTCTCATTTTCCTGTTGGAGCTGTGGGCTGCTGCCTTCGCCAGTCAGACAGACATTTCTATCTGTGGGATTCCCAGTGATGTGATACCTCAAGACTAGGCGGAGCCAAGATTAGAATTCCCCTGGCCCCAGAGTCTTAGCAGCAGGAATGAGTGGAAGGCCTTGATGTGGTGAGTAGCTGTTTCCTGTTCCCACCGCTCCACAGCAGCCCTGTGCAGCGCCACGGAGCACACCCAACCACATGGGGACACAGATGTCGGATTCTTACCCTGAGCTGAGGTTTCTGATTCTGAAACTACCAATCCTCTTCGCGTCTTGTCTGGCTTCTGCCTCGCAGAGAGAGCATCACACCTGTAAGAAGCCACTTCTCACTCTATGCACAGACCCATCCTCTGCCTCTGCATGCAATGCCTTTGCTCTTTACATGGCTATTTCTCTAAGCTCGCAGGGCACCTCATCTTAGGGGTTTCTCAACTAGCCAGATTCTCATTCTCTCTCTCTCTCTCTCTCTCTCTCTCTCTCTCTCTCTCTCTCTCTCTCTCTCTCACACACACACACACACACACACACATACACATACACATTTGCATTTTTAAAAATCTCATCACAAAAGAAATAGCTGGTTGTTCCTTTTCCCATTTATCTAAAGGAGGAAATGAGGTACAAAGGGACTTCGTGAGGTACCCATGTCAATCATAGGCAGAGCCTTGTTTTCAGTGGTGTGTCCCATTTATGGAGATCTCATTGAAAATCACAACAGAGAGAAGGAATAGGAGCACGCAGATGAAGGATGCCCTGAGCAATTGCAATCACTTTGTATTGTGTAAACCAAGGAGGCCATGATTAGAATCTCAGGTGCTCACTCACACCACCACTTTGTCAGCAATAGACTCATGTAACTGCAAGATCCAAACAGTCCATGCAGGTGGCCCTGAGATCAGGAAAACGGTCCTAGCAAGGTTACTATCCCCACAGAAGGACAAGGAGTTCTTCCTGCTTGGTGGCCAGAGAAAGATGTTTGACCCAAAGTAAAAGAGAATCCTAGTCCCCAGCAAAGCTGGTATAAGCCATTGACCTGAGTATCATAGCAAAGCTGAATTCTTAAGAATAAAGTAGAGCCACATAGAGGCTTAAAGGAGACAGATACTTCTCAGTTATACCTTCCCCAAAAAATAAAACCAATGAGATTGGATTGTACCCGAATGAATGTTTGCTGCACAAAGGACAGAGTTTATCTCCCCCCCACACACCTGTGGACACGATGGATCTAGTTAGTCATGGCAGCGAGGAAGCAGAATTTCAGAGCTTGTGAGGAAGTCACTTGCATTGTTAGAGCCTTGGTTTTATTCATTAATATGGTCTTGTCAGGTTCCTGGGAATGTGAGGGAGGTGAGGTGTGTGCATCTATCGATACGCATAGAATCAAGTGTCCAGGGAGGGAGCTGGCACCCACAGCGTCACTGCAATCACGTCTTAAGTGGCTCCAGGTATCCTTCATGCTCCCCTGCATGAGGGGGGAGACTTGGGTCCTTAGCTACCCTTTATGTAAACTTGAACATCTTCCTGAGATATCACATCAGTATGTTTTTTGAAAATAACAGGCTCATGGCTGCCCCCACGGCTCCTCTAATCTCAGCATCCCCCCCTTTCCCCCAGAAAGTTGATGTAGACACAGCTGCCGCTGTTTACCAAGTGCTAAGGGAACCCCCAGGTCACTCTTAGAACCTGGTGTACCCACCTACCACCTGCTAATAACTCACCCATCCAAAGTAGCAGGTGTCTCTGCATTTGCTGTGTGCAGGTTCTCCTTGCCAAAGGTTTGTCTCTTTGGTTACTCCAGCCTGCGGGAAATGTGTTTCCATCGCCAGAGCCTGGAATCCTTTCTGTCCTGCAATTAATTGACGATGAGAGAACATTGAGTTTCGAGATTCTTGCTCTGATGTCGCTGGGAGGAGAGCTCGAGGCAAAAATCATGCGTGATGGATAATGTTGAGCTCTAATTATGGAGAAGTGGGGTGAGGGGCACCCAGCAGTCTCCCCCCCTAACAGTTTCATTTGTTAATAATCCGACTTAGGGAGAGCTGGAATGCCTTAGTGGACCCGCCTTTCATCTTGACAGTGGCTGTAGTGCTGAGACATATCTGTGCCCCATGAGATATTTCTTTAGCTGTGTTAACCGTCCTAACTAGAGCTGGAAAAGCCTAAGGATGATCTTCATGAAAAGCCTCTGCCAGAGGCTCATTCGTCTCACACAAGGTTGAGACTCACACGCTGAAAGTGGGTTCCTGTTTGGAGTCCCTTTCGAATAATGTCACAGATGACCTGAGCCTTGGCTCCCTGATAATAAACATGTGTCCTATAGAGAAGAATGCCCCACAGCTGTCTGTGGCCTGGAAGTAAATGGTGAAATTTATCAGGAGGGCCTATGTAGTATCTTCTCTGCCCACAATTAGGCCAGTAGTCCAAGCTATAAAGGCTATAGCAGTCTCCAACTCAAATTTGGTGGACAATGATATTGGGATCCAGTGCCTTCACTGATAAAAGTAGGATGCCGACTGGAGAGAACTGTGTCCCAGAAGTGACCTGGATAATGCTGTGCATGCCAGTGTCCAGTAACCACAGATTCCAGGACCAGTGTCCCCATGCTGATTCCAATCCCATTAGCTAGTGGGAAAAAAAATACCACTCAATTGTAACACTTGAGTCTCTCTTTGGCTCCATGGGACTCAGGCTGTAAGGAAAGTGGCCAATAGCCACGCTCATACTCACCCCAGGAAGCACAATCCACTTTAAGGGACATGATTTCTTTTTTTAATTCAGATGGATTTTAAGAAGTTCCCAGAGGACAAGTTCATTTTCAGTTCATTTGTAATTATTTTTCATGCAAGTATACATCATGTCCGGAGCATATCCCCCATAGCACCCATCATCCAGGTTCTCACCCCTTCGTACCCCGCCCTGGTAGCTCCCTTTGTTGCTCTAGAATGTTTTACTTCTGCTTTCATTCCATATTTGGTTTTCTGCATCTATATAATGACATACACAATTTTATGCATCCATATAAAATCTAGAGCCACAAACACGAGAAAACATACAATTTTTGCCTTCCTAAAGCCTTAATGTCTTTACTGTGACCATCTTAAGCTGTAGTTTCCTGTCAGAGACATAAGTTATTTCTTCTTTATGGCTAAAACTTTCCATTGATAAGATACCACATTTCTCCAGCCATTCCTCGCTTCTTGAACAGGTAGGTGAATGCTACAATGTAGCTATTCTGAGTGGCGCTGCAATACAAGGGGGTGAGTTCTTAGGAGGAAAAGAGAAACCTGGCGTGTTATCAAGAATTGTCTTATGAGAAAGTTTTACATAGACTGAAGAAGAAGAAAACAAGAAGTAATCACTTCTCTTAAAGAATCTAAGAACGATAGATAGGAACGTCCCCAGAAACCAGCCGTATTTTTGGCCACATGGCCTCACATGGCTTTGAGCACTGAGTTGTTGTTGAATAAAGGTATAAGTAAGCTCAGTATATGATGCAACTACCAGAATCTTCAAGAATATATTAATCAAAGTATAATACCTCTAATGAGAAAAGTAAAAGACCTTCCCGTTGCAGCCAGGCTAAGTGGAGATGTGTTCAGTTAGTGGTGGAGATGGGTTTTGTTCCAAGCATCATATTTTAAGTAATGAGTAGTGGCTCACTAAGAGGATCCTCAGAGGAGCAGGACCAACCTGACAAAGGAACATGGACCTCAGCCTGAAAGTGGCATGACTGTATCCATCTCAAACGCATGGAGCCCATCACCTGGGTGAGGGTTAGGTAGTGGTTGTTGCCTAGGGGGTGGGACCCGAAGAAATGAGACCCAGCAGCCTGAGCTCCCTACCAGAACCACCAAACAGACTGTGAAATGGTAGGTCCTCTGGTATGGCTGAATCTCTTGAGTGTGGCACCAGTGGTCATTTTAGAAGAATGATTATAGTGGAATTCACATTGACCAGCAGGTTAAATTTGGCCAACTTTGGGTTCAGCTTTTATCCAACACATTCATTTCAAAGGACAGAAGCAAATGGCTACAGTTTCCCCTGTGCTTCAGCAGCTCACATATCTGAAAATACACAAACTGAGTTTTAAGGTATTTCTGACAGAAAAGCATCTTTCTAAGTTTCCATAGAAGAAAACTTCAACAACATCTCTTTTCCCTCCAAGAATGTAGTAGTGTTCTCACTGAGCAAGCTATAGAGAATGCTGATTATTGTCCAGACCTAGAACAAGAGATGAATCTTCAGGACTTGCTTTTGGGTGGGTCACTGAGCTTAAGATAAACAGAAACCATTAAGACCAGGAAATGGTGATGAATCGTAATAAAAATAACTGACAAGTATGTAAAAGGGGAAAGGAAACGAACATTTAAGTCATGGTAAGAACAAGATAGTAAAATGCTACTGAACATAACTCAAGCTTTATGTACCAAACACAGATACATACACAGGTACACAAGAATAAGGAAATAAAAATTGGCTTGGTGAATTACAGATCTTGGGTTGTTGCTGCTGTTGTTGCTGTTGCTACTGTTATTGCTGTTGTCTCCCTCTCTGAATAAGAAAAAGGGTGAATTAGCTGACTGGCTGATGGCTATGTTTTCCTTTGCCTTTTCCATTTCAAGATTCTGCCTAAACCTTTGTAGGCAATGGGAAATCGAAACAGAACAGGATAGGAGCACTTAGCTTGATACCATACATTAAGTTGTAAAAGAAGAGAAGCTTCTGGAATGGTGGAGCAGAGAGCTCATTGGATACCTATGAAGGACTAGGATGATCTAACCCTGACCCAGGCTAACAGCAGTCTGTGTCTCCCAGTCTGCCTTACACAAACACTTGCGGTCCTTCAAGCAGTTTCCCAGGCTCTAGAATGGGCAGTTAGATGCAGGTCCAGGTGTTCTGAATTGGAAAGCTGACCTTTATCCATTAGAAACAGGAGTAAGAACTTGACGTTTTCCAATGCAGAGATTCCAGAATGGTCACAACTACAATGGCCTCTTTGCTTGGTTCCCTGTGTGCATGGTCCCCAAAGACATAAAGAACAGCATACATCTGACTCAGTGAATAAAAATTATGTCTCAAAATTCTAGAATTCAAATGTGACTGATTGTATGTGCCAATTTTTTTATATTCATAGAAGGCACAGCATTGTATGTACCTGGCACTGGGCAATGGAAGGGTAGAATCAGTATGTGAACAATGCTAATCCTACTTGCTTCAATAAGGCATCATGTAGGAATATGTTCCCTCAGGCAGTTAGATCAAATCACAACTTAGATACTTACCCAGCTTACCCACTGAATGATTATTATTTAAAAAAATTAAATTGCCTAAGTTTGAGAGTCTTCCTATACAGAATAAGAATAATGATACCCACCTTAGAGGGTTACTGTAAAGTTGATAGAAGGTCAGTATGGGAAAGTTTTTTTTGTTTTTTGTTTTTTGGGTTGTTTTTTTTTAAACTCAGTGTCGTTTCTGGTGAGGCAACCCCTCAGGTCCTTTCTCCATGCTCCCTCCTTTTTTAAAAAAGAAATCAGCTGGAGGAAATAGTGATGATAAATGTTCAGTTGAGCTGTACACAGATCCATTGACATCAGACTGCTGGGTCTGGATTGATTTTATGCCTTCCTGCCAGCAAGCAACAATGCTGGGCTGTAGCACATGGCTGTGAAGGGTTTCATGTTTTCACAAAGGACACAGATCTTTCCTCTGCCGGTCTTCAGAGCAGCACCGTGATATGGCAGTTGGCAAACTCTGATGCTTGGGAAATTTAAGTGTCTTCCCAAAGCAAGCAACGAGAAACAGAAACTGGTTTGGAGTATTTCTGACTCAAGTGCGGTACAACCCAGCAGCTTCTTTTTCTGGTTCCCAAAGCACTCTGTGAGGCCCATGTCTATGGAGGGATGTCAACAAACACCTGTTTACTGTAGAAGATAAGTTATCAGCTGGTGGCAAGCCTCCTGCTCAGCTCCCATGGCCCACTGAGCTGATGCCCTTGTTCTATGCTCCAGGGAAAGAGCCAACGCCTTGTTATTGCATCAATAGTTGAAGTGAAGTTGTCTCTACTGCCTGCACTTTTAATGCTTTGGCTATTTTTATGGTTATATTTATGGAGGCCAACATGTATCAGGGAAGCCATTTATAAGGCTCCGGGAGGGATTAATGGAACACAGATTGTTTATCTTTCCATTAGTGGACCCTATAAAGCTGAAAAGAAGGGTTCTGAGATAAGAGGGATTTAACTGGGAGCCTATAAAAGCAAACCCACCAACATGCCTTTCTCCATGCTAGCTGAGAAGAGGGGTGTGAAGGAAGCTTGTATCCCTAAGCAATCCTGTGCCGAGAGGCTACAGAAGCAGCGGATTGCTGTGCTCCTGCTAAGGCATAAAAGATGCTCGCAAGTTATGGAGGAAAAGGGCTAATGTTCAATTTTCCTTTGCAAGAAACAGACTCTTAAGGATAGTCCAACAGGTGATGGACACACTTAACAGTCTTGTCCTTCCCCCAAGACAGGATAATTGTGCCGCATGCATGGCAGTCAGTGGTCATTTTTAATAGTTACATGACTTGTCAGCTAATCATTAAAATTTATGAAGTTCAGTGAGATCCAAGGAAAAGCGAATGAACCGCACATGTCTACTTTAAAATGCTGTAAGATACAATGTGGACTTCACATTTCAGACTGAAGCATGAAAACATTTAAGATTCTCTATAATGCTGGAAGGCTACTGGATATTCTCTCTGTCTCTGTCTCTGTCTCTGTCTCTGTCTCTGTCTCTGTCTCTCTCTCTCTCTCTCTCTCTCTCTCT